CCCAGCCTCCCAAAAAATCTTCTCTGAATATAGATTGAAAAGGTATGGAGATAGGACACATCCCTGGCATATACCCTTCCCAATTTTGAACCATGCAGTGTTTCCTTTTCCTGTTCTGATAACTGCCTCCTAGCTGAAGTGTAGGTTTCACATTAAGTGTTCTGAGATTCCCATTCTTCTCAGAGTTAGCCACAGTTTGTTATGATCCACACAGTCAAATACCTTTGTATAATCAATAAAACACAGATAGACATTCCTCTGGTACTCCCTGATTTCACCAAAGATCCATCTAACATTAGCTACAATATCTAGTACCACGACCCCTTCTGAAACCAGCCTGCACTCCTGGTCGTTCTCTGTTGATGTGTTGTTCTAGTTGGTTTTGGATTATCTTCAGAATCTTGCTTGCATTTGATATTAATTATATTGTTTGATAATTTTCACACTCTGTCAGATCACCTTTCTTTGGAATGGGAACAAATAGAGATCTAGTCCGTTGGCCAAGTGGTTGTTTCTCCAGATTTCTTGGCACAACTTGGTGAGCACATCTAGGGCAGTGTCTCTTAGTTGAAATATGTCAGTTGGTATGCCATCAATTCTGGGGGCCTTGTTTTTTGCCAGTTCTTTCTTTCTTTATTTTTTTTTCTTTAAAAAAAATTATTAATTTCAATGAAAATTTACAGATACTTTGGATTTCCGTTCATTCATTGTTTTACTTTTCTCCCCTCCCAATCCTCCCCCCAGTATACTACCCTCTTCTAGAAGTAAAATTCTTTTATTGTTTTACAAACCCTCCCCCCAGATCCACTCCACTATACAGCCTTCGCTCTGGACTCCTGTCATGACAAAAATACCTAATAATTTTCCCTCTTAAATAGTTTTCTCCCTCATCTGTTTCAATGCAATATACATTATTGAACCCATCCTTCTTAGACTCCTCCCAACCCCAAGGTCAGTCCTGCTTTACAACAGTGGCACCATGCAGCATTTGTCTTTTTTTTTTGTTTTTTTGGGTTTTCATTCATTCATTGTTGCACTGTTTTCTCCACTCTCGTCCCCAGTTCGTTCTTCTTCCCGCCCCCCCCCGTCTGTTTTAATTGTCCAATTGCCACAGTGCTTGTCAAAGCCAGTTCTGATTCATCTCCTTTGTCATTGT